TGCTGCACCATTGTACTTTGGAAGCAGATAACTTGTATTTTAGATTTCACAAATGAAGAGGAATTTTGCCCCAGGATAGAATTTGGACTTGGAGTTGATTTAAGACTTTTGGGATGATATGATGGGGTGAATGTGTTTTACATTCAGCAAGAACATGAGTTTTGGGGGGCCAAAGAGTGGAATGAATTGTGTCTGAGAAGCTCCTAGACCAGGGGAAGATTGATGACAAGGACCTTCCTTCAGAGCTGACAGAAACAGAAAGACTTCCCCTGGAGCTCATCTCCTGAATTCAGACTTCTAGCCTCCTAGACTGTGAGAAAATAAATTTCTGTTTGTTAAAGGCATCCACTTGCGGTATTTTTGTTATAGCAGCACTAGGTAACTAAGATACTTACCTTCCCACCCTTTCGACTATGAACTAACCTGTTTCTGTTCAGAACATTATGATAATAACAAAAGATGATTTTAAATAGACCAAACATAACTTAATGGTACCCAATAACTGTTATATTGTATAAGAGGTAGAATGATTTCAGAGAGTTAACTGGATAAACTCTGATTCCCTACCACTTTCATTCTTTTCTCATCATTACTTTTAGTGTTTGTTGGTTATTTTGTTTCTTCAGAACTAATAGCATAAACTAGAAATCTTGAGGTTTCTATTGTATGGAGAGGTATCTTTTTACCTATTACTTTGTTTGAAGCAATACTAGTGTTTTTGCAATTAAAAAGAGGGAGCTTGAAAGGGAGTTGCTATTATCTAATGTTAAGCAATTAAAAATAAAATTTGGCTTCTACCCTCTTTCCTGCCAAGTTTTTCTATGTTCTAGATGCCTTTTCATTGAAAAAGACATATCTCATACCCAAACTATGAACACCCATTGAAGATTGCCATCTCCTATTAAGGGCATGGAAGTAAACTCTGTAACTAAAACAGATGCCTTCGCCCACAGATTCTAAAATCAGAGGGTATCCATAAACCTCTCTGCAAATTTTCAGAACGTAAGTGGGAAACAGGAACTGTTAAAAATTTGAAACTCTGCTAAAGTACTTTTTGCTCTTCTGGTAAAAGAAAATACATTACTTTCTAGGAAGCTCACTACTTCAATAAACATACAAAGAAATCAGAGCTGGAAATTCATATCTGGGATTTGGGTTATGTCAGCTCATTTCAGGACAAAAAATAATACTTTTAGATGGAAAGTCATAGAATGGTTATCTGACTTCTCTCAAAATTATACTGGATTTATTTCAAGGGGGAAAAACAGGACCTTACTTTCCTTATTTTTTTCGTGAGCTTCCATATTACATAAAATGTTTCAGAGTTTTTATTTATTATCTTGGATACGTGGACATATGTACTCCCTTATATACTCATCCCACACAAACAAGAAAGAAAAACTGATCAATTATATGAAGAATTTTCTCATTAAGAGCAGAAGCCAAAGTTAAATGATTATATCACAGTGCACCATTAAATTTAAGTAAAAAAAAAAAAAAAAAAGTTGCTCTCAATTTTCAGTCAGCAAAAGAGTAGCTGTGAAGGGATCACACAGCTTTGAAAAGTGGAAACTCTAATGAAGGGTCAGCATTCTAAAGGCAAGGGGGCAGCTGACATGCTGTTTTGACAGCTGGGTAAAAATTAAGCAGAAAAAGTTTGTAAAACACAGGAAGTCATGATAAAAGGGTAGAATGAAGTGTTTGAAAAATGGTAAAGTGAGAACTTTAATTAACATGGAGGGAAAGAGCAGGAAAGATGGATAAGTGATTTAGTTCAGAGAAGAAACAGTTTGTAGAGAAAATTTAGTAGAGTAATAAGATAATTTCTATTCTAATTTGCAGAGGCCAAGAGATGACATTATTTGAAGAATGATGGTTTTATTGTTTTAATATTTTATATGTAAGTAGGAAGCTCTATTTGTCTGAAATATGCCAGTATAAGTTTCTATTAATATGTTAGTAATACGTATTAGACAAATTGGAAAGTAGGGATTTGCTTTTGATTAACCTTTTAAAAAAATTTCTATTCACTACTTTTAACATCTCAAACTTGAAGCAAATTATGAAATCAGGGAGGGATCATGATTTTATAATGTGAAGATGATCAGAAATCCTGATTTAGTTACAAATTGGTCTTAACCCTGTTTTTTTTTTTTTTTTTTTTTGGCCAGTGTTCTTTAATCTTGGGCTCCTAATTTGATTAAGAAAATTTAAACACAGAAAGCTGCAAAACCAATGTTTCTTAATTAGGAATTGTGTGAGTAGCTTAATATTAAAAACATTAACCACACACACACACAGCATAAATTCTGTAGCGTTTTAGGTTCTCTTGTTTAAGCTACATTGATTTATAACTCTCTCAACAATCACTGGAGCCCTGGTAGAGCAGTGGTTAAGAGCTTGGTTGCTAACCAAAAGGTTGGAACTTGGAATCCACCAGCCACGCCTTGGATACCCTATGGAGCAGTTCTACTCTGTCCTGTAGGGTTGCTATGATTCATATCAGTAGACAGTGACATAGGAATCACACCCAAGTGATGCGACATGGAAATCTTGCAAATATATTGAAAGTCAGAATTTAATCATCTGCATTAACTAAACCAAACCGGTTGCCATCGGGTTGATTCCGACGGCAACGGGTTTAACAGTCACTGTATAAGTTGGTAATCCTATGTCCTGGATTTCCAGGTCACTTCAGATTTCAAGTATTTTATTTATTGTCACATGATGTGTCCTGATTTTGGTCTGATATACATGGTCACTGAATTTATAGACTAACTCTGAAATAGTAATAGCCTTTGGCAGTATGTAGCAATTCTTTTTCTGGGCCATGATTATCAAGTTAAATCAAATCAAACAATAATTCATTATATATTTGAATCTACCTAATAGGTAGAAGTTGTATAAACTTTATAGTAATTTACAGTTTCAAATATTATAGACACAAACACATAGCCAGTAAGCCTATACATGGGTATTCACTCTTGCCATATAAGAAATGAAAAGCATACTTAGGAGATATTGTAACTATGTATTATATGGTCAAAACTAAGGAAAGCAAAAATAAAATGTGCTTGTGTTAATAAAAAAGGATTTAGTGGTCTTATTTTCAATTTTCACAAACCGGAACTCACTTTATTGGTAAACCGGAAGTGAGATATACTAGCATTCGCTATGATAGGAACCCTGGTGGCCCAATGGTTGAGAATTGGGCTGCTAACCAAAAGGTAGGCAGTTTGAATCCACCAGCCACTCTTTGGAAACCCTATGGGGCAGTTCTGCTCTGTCCTACAGGATTGCTATAAGTCAGAATCCACTGACGGCAATGGGTGGTTTGGTTGCTGTAATTATCTGAGCGAACTTTGTAAGATTGACACATTATCCTATGTCAAAACCTTGTTTTGCAAATGCAGATATATATTTTATGGCTGTTCCCTTTTACTATCATTTATAGCATTACTGTATAACATTTGTTCATGGCCCTGCTATTTATTCTTTTGCGATTAGCTAACCACTAAGTGGGGGGAAAAGTTTTAAAGTCCACCATTTACGGATTGGCATTTAATATATCTTTAGAAAATTACGGTGAATTTTCCCAAGACTTGGAAATGTATCTACTACTACTGATCAGGCTCTCCCTCCCACATTTTCCAGCTAGTTGGGACGTGAGCAGCTCAGGGATGCTGCTGCAACAGGGGTGAGAGTGGGAGATAAGATATCACCCTCTCGACACTGTTGCTATGAATGATTCACTTCATTTGGCACATTTGTTGCGAGGAAATCGCCGCCGCCGCTTCCTTCTAGGAGCTCCTCTCGGGCTGTCTCTTGTGCTTTGGCCTTTAAGGAGAAGCTAGAACAGGTGGGCACAGAGGAGCTCGCCGAGTCCTCCCCTGCTCCTTCCCTAATTTAGCAATACTTCCGGCCGCGTGACATCATCCCCCGCACCCTGGTGACGTGAGCGGCGGGTGACGTGTGTGCGGAGAGGAGCGCGCTGACGTTGCTATTTAAAGGTCCTCCTGCGGGGAGGATGGAGACACAGCGTGAGCACCTGGTGTGGGGAGCCGAGGAGGCTGTGGCGGCTGGGATCGGGGCCAGGAGCCAGCGGAAGAGCAGAGCGCACGGCCCGCCCGCCGCCGGCCACTAGGGGAGGGGGGAAGAAAGCAAGGACGGACTGACGGACCTGCTGACTGGCCGGCCTCGCTCCCCACGAGGGCTGGTTCGGCCCCTGACCACCAGCCTCTCCGCCCCCTCGCGGCTGCCACCCGCTCCCGCACCCAGCAGGCCCCGCCGGGCCCACGGGACGGATCCGCGTCCCAGCCCTCTGCGCCTGGCCGCGCCTCCGCGGCGGCGGCGGCCGCCTCCCGCGAGCAGGGGGAGGGACCGCTATCACCCCCTGTTCTCCCCGCCCCCTCCTCCGCCTCCCGCAGCCCACTCCGCCGCCGCGCTAGCCTCTTGCTGGCTGCGCTGAGCGGGGAGGGGGTGCCTTCCGCTCTGCGAGCCGGCCGGTGACGGCGGAGGCAGCAGCGGGCTTCAGGCCGCTCGGGCCGGCGCGGTTCTGCCGAGCGGGAGCTGGAAGCCGGCGGAGGCGGGCGGTGATGGAGGTGTGAGGAGGCGGCGGCCGGGCTCCGGGAATATGAGGCGGCGCGTGGCGGCGGTGCGGTGCTAGAGAGGCGAGGAGCAGGGGTCCGGGCGCTGGAGCAGCGGCTTTCCCGCGGCTAGGAGCCCCGGTGGACAGTCCCCGACGCAGCATTAGCGCCCGTCGATCCTTCAGCCCTCTCCTCCGCCGCTCGGCCCGCCGCGGAGCTGGGGGCAGGGTGCCGTTGGAAGCGTGGAGCTTGGCTCTCTGATTCATTCATTCCTTGCGGACGGGAGCCTCAGACCCGCTGTGCTCTGAAGAGAGGGCAGCCGCGAATGAAAGGCCGGGCGCGAGGCGGGCTCCATTGTGCTCGGCGGCGGGGTGCGGGAAGGGGCTGAGGGAGGTGGGATCGGGTCCCCTCCCCCTGCTCCCCGGCGTGCGCTGCGCCCGCAGCCTGCTGCCAACCTGGATATGGCTCAGTTTATTCTCCTCCGGAGAATGAATCTATCCTGCCTGGTCTTCTCTTCCTCTTCCTTACCTCCTCTCAGCTCCGAGTCTTAAGAGGGGAAAATTAAGACAGATTCCAATGTGGAGTGCCGTGCACGTCGCGAGCTGCCGGGTTTGCACTTCGAGGAGATTTTTCTATTTATTTTTTTCTAACATGAGCGCAGGGAAGCAGTGGCATTACTGCTTTTCGGATTTTTATTTTCCAGTAGGGATCTTTTAAGTGCACGTTGCATTGGGTTGACGCTCCACCCCCCCGGGACTTGGTAGCACCGAAAAGGCCGAGTTACCTAGCTCTCCGTGAGTGTCGAGGAGGACATGACCGAAAAGACCAGCGAACTCATTTTTTGTAGGACTCGGTGAAGCTGGATCCCGCGTTTTCCTACGTATAGACTCATTTTGTGGAATAGAGTTGACCGCTGTCTCCTCCGCGCAGCAAATGCCACCTCAGTTTATTTGAACGTTTTGGTATTTACGAGAGAGAAAGCATTTTACTTAAGGAAACCAATTGTCAGCATCATTGAAATACCTCCGGAAAAGGACCTCGGGGGGTGGAAAAGCAACTGCGAAATAGCAAACAGAGAAATTCCTTTGGAAGTTATTCCGTAGCATAACAGCAGAAACTTCAGCGCAAGTTTTCATTGGGCAAAATGGGGTAAGGATTTTTGTGCTTAACACAACTTCGAATCTGTTTATGTATGTGTGTTATTGTCTGTGTTTTGTGTTTTCAAGCAAATTTGCCACCTTCTTGCTGAGCAGGTTACACTTTTAAAATACAGGTATGCTAACCTATTAACAATTTATTTTTGTATTCTTTTAGAGTGACACCGAGAGGTCATAGTTAAGGAACGGCGCGTATAACGTTAGTAACCTGAATATAGTTATATCAGTAATATTTAAGAAGGCAACGCATTCTCTATAAACTGCTGCATCAGTTTGTAATGAAAATCATGTCTGAGGTTTTGTTGCCAGTCGGTATCTTTCAAAAAGAAGTACTGCATTCTCTTAATACTTTGAGAATAATCAGTTGCACAAAGGGAACGATTGTATTGCAAACTAATGAGCGGTTAGACGATAGTCTTTGAAAATGATCCAGTGTAAACTGTTGCCCTCGTCTTGCCCTCTGTTTTGCCCTTGAATATCCCAGAGCTAAAACTGATTTATTGGGGGGATTTAAATGAAAATCTGAAAGTCTAATGATGCAGTCTCCAGAATGCGGTGCTCTCAGTAGGAAATCAGAACTTGAATAAGAAAAAGCCTTTTGTTGAAGAACTTGTTCACTTTTTTTGTTTTTTACTTCTAAGCTCAGGTCTTCAGTTTTTGTTAACAATGTCAGATCTACCCTTCTTTCAGATCCAGATCCAGTCAGGAGTGTATTTTCCAGCCTTTTGTTAAGTCTGTTCACACAGTTAGCTTGAAAAAATGCTAGTGACTCTTCCTAATTTAAGCTGGAAACTCATATTAATGGAATAATGATATAGTCGTTTTATTGACAGATTGTTGATGCTTTCCCTCAAAGAGGAACTTCTGGAATTTTGTCTCTCTCTCTCTCTCTCTCTCTGTGTGGTTGAGGGGCAGATTTTGAAAGGATGGACTCTAAAATTTCTTTGTGACATTTTAGGGATGTACACACACTTCTTGAAACTTTTGAAGAGAAGTTTTGGATAGTACTACCTTTTTGTTGGAGTTAGAATTTGAAGTTTATTAATTTGAACAACTTTGATAACTGAAAACAGATGTAGGAGCTCTTCCTTAGGAATTAATGGAAAACAGTGATAATTGTTTTTTAAAATTAAAAGTGGTGAGAATATATATATATGGGGTATTACTAAGAGCAATTAAAATACCTCATTCTATTTCTAGTGTTGCTATTAGTAAGTTAGTGCCCTGAGGCAAATTGTTTAACCTCTGTGGACTGTCTTATCTGTAAAATGAAGAACTTTGATGAGATGGGTTTTAAAGACTTTTCCAACTGTAAAAATGAATTGTTTTCTTTTGTCCTTCTCTCATTTTAATGATCACTAGTTGGTTTCGTAAAGTAGATCTTTCAGATGGAGATGTTATTTTATGTAAGCAGTCTTTAAGCATCTTAACGAGCTAGAAAATAATGACATTTGAAAAATGTTTTAGATTAACTCCGCTAATTTTAAATGAGGGATTCTGAAAAATACTGTTATTTAAAGCCTTTGAAGTATGGTTTCTCTTGAGAATCTGCAGCTCTTCTGGTTAAAATATGTTGGAGCAAAAAAAAATCAAGCAGCAATTTTTCATGTTGAAGACTGCATTCTCTAGATTGTAGAGGGGTAGCATCTTGGAGGAAAATCAGTTTTCCACAACTTTTAAGCCTCATGAATGCCCATCATTTTACCAAGAAAGCCTGGGATGAACGTAAATACTAAAGGGACTAGGATTAAAATATAAAAATAAGCCTCCCCCCAGCACACACACAACACAAATTTAGACACTTCAGCATAATTAAATTTGCTTATATACTAGTTTATTTGCCCTTTTGTTAACAAAATCTTGAAGGTGCACTGAGGAGGAAAGGGAGCGAGTGTTTGTGGCGTTATTTTTCTGAAAGTCCATTGTTGGGCTGGGACCCTTTTCGTTGATAGTTACTTGTACCGTCTTGAATTGATGAGAGGAAGCGTAGGTGGAAGTAGACTAGACGAACATAAGGAGAAGGCATTTGTGCAAGTTTCTAGACTTTGTAGATGTTTAAACCTAATAAATGTTGGTGGGATAAGCATAGTTGCCAGCACCTATTTAAAACAAAAGGAAACAGAGCTTTAAATGGCCTTGAAAGTTTTACCCAGGCAATCCTCAATTACCTTATTCTGACGGGTATCTGAAATTTAATATTGTGGGTGAAGAGTGTCACATATAATGAATACATTTGTGGCTGACGTTAGCTTATAGTAAGAATTTATTCTTTGCCATAATTATAGGTATAATTTTAAGGGCAAAGTCTAAGCAAAAGAGGTTACTTTTAAGAAAATGAGTGATCAGGTGGGAAGAATGTCTGTGGCTCCCGAACAGTAATTTATGAACTCTGGTAGAACTGAAAAGAACAGCTGAAACTGACAGCTGGCTGAGTCTGTCAAAGTATCTTGGATGCTGCATGAACTGTTTTTAATTGCAGTGAAGACAGCTGAAGTATCGGTTTGTAAAGTTGTTCTATCCGACAACTAAAAATTAGGGCATTCTTGTATGTGAGATGAAGTCTATGAAAAGTTCAAAGTGTCAGTGAGAAGTTCTTCTCCCTTTAGTTGGCCCCTCACCCCTCAAAGTAGCATCTCACAATGAGAGCAGTGAGTCAGTAGCTATTTTAGAGCTATCAGACCAGTCAACAGAAATCAAGTAACTTCAACCAGTTATTTCATGCTACCTTTTGAATTGTTGCTTAGATTATATTGGCAACTAAGTGCCAACAAAGGACTAAAGAATCCCCTCTCCCGTTAAAGCTAGTTATATGTAAAATGAGGGTTCTCCCTGCTAACGAAGTTGGCTGGTGCAGTTCCTGATTTATCTCACCTATCTGTAGGAGCCTCTGGAATCTTGCCTTTCCCCTTACCCTCAGGTAAGTTGCAGAGGCATGGAAGTAGGTGCTGCAGCATTGCAATCTGTACTGAGTCCCTTCTTTGCTGAAGGACAGGAAGCTGACACCTCTTTCTGCCTCAGGCTGCGGGGTGCTGCTGTCTGGGGGTTGTAGCAACAGTGCGGAATTCTTAATCTAGCACTGCAAATATGAATGAGCTTTGTTATAAAGGCAACCATGCTATCATCCCTAAGGGCAGAGAAGTTAGATGCAACTCATTCATTTTGTATTTGTTCATTTTACCAACTTTTGAGCCTCTATTATGTGGCCTGTACTGAACTCAGTGTGCTGATTCAGGACTAGTAAAATGTATTCTTTTCCCTCAAGGAGTTTATACTCCTGAGGTGGGGAAGACAGTCAAGCTTTAAAATAAAAGATACAGTGAAATGTCAAAGGGTCTGTAAGGTAAGGCACCATGAAGGCACTGTGTGTGTGTGTGTGTGTCTGTGTGTGTGTGTGTCTGTGTGTGTGCATTAGCTTGAGGGAAGGATGAAAAGGCTTTGTGGAGGAGGTGATAAGTATTAAATATTGAAAAATGAGTAAGGTGGGCCTCGTGGACAAATAAGAGGTCATTCAAGACAAAGGAAATAGTATGATCGAGAGCGCTAACACAAGAAACTGCAAAAACATTTGGCATGACAAGCTTATTTTGCTTGGGGTCGTTGGGGGCATAGCAAGAGATAGAGCTAGAGCCTCAGGCAGGGGCCAAGTTTAGAGAGCCTTGTAGGCCAGACCCTGGTGGTGCAGTGGTTAAGAGCTACGTCTGCTAACCATGTTAACCAAAAGGTCGGCCGTTCAAATCCACCAGCTGCTCTTTGGAAACCCTGTGAAGGGATAGCTTCGTTATGAGTCAGAATTGACTCGATGGCAGCGGGTTTGGTTTTGGTTTTGGTAAACCAAACAAAAGACTTTGTATTATCCTGTGTTGTTATTGTATGCTTTGGAGTCAATTTAGACTCATAGTGACCCTATAGGACAGAGTAGAACAGGCCCATAGGGTGTACTATGCTGTCATCTTTCTGGGAGCAGATTGCCAGGTCTTTTCTCCTGAGTAGTGGCTGGTGGTTTTGAACTGATGACCTTTCAGTTAGCAGGCAAATACTTAACCACTCTTGTAGGCAAGTGTATTTTAAACTTTTTTGGCCACGACTGATTAGTAAGGTAAACATTTTTACGTTGCAACTTAGTACACTTGTATATAAATGACAAAATTTCACAAAATGATAATTTTACTTTGTGTGATGCACTCTGCTATTTTCTGTTCTATTCCATTCTATTTTATTTTTGAGGAAGAATGATGGTTGTGACCCACTAAATTGATTTAACTACCCAGTGGTAGCAACTGGTGGCTTGGGGAACCATCACAGGTTTTTTTTTGAGGTTAAGATTCATTTGTGGTTGCTTTTGTCTTTAGACTGAGGATATATATGTGTTCAAAAGTTACTTGTGTTATTTTTCCCTTCATGTGGTTATGTTACTTATTAAAAAATAGTTAGGTTCATTTGTTTTTATTCTATTTTAGCCACCCCCATCCTTAATGTAATTTAAGTTTTTGACTATATAAAACAATAACATGATTTCAAACATCGAAACCTTTATAGGGCTTTAAGTAGAGTAGTAGCACAAGCCTGGTACCGCAGTGGTTAAGTGCTTGGTTGCTAACTGAAAGGTTGGCAGTTTGAACCCACTAGCTGCTCTGCAGGAGAAAAGACCTGGTGATCTGCTCCTGTAAAGATGACAGCCTAGAAAACCCTATGGGTCAGTTCTACACCATCCTATAGGGTCGCTATAAGTCAGAATTGACTCAGTGGCACCTAACAACATAACAGTAACATGAAAGATCAGGGGAAGCAGAGTGAGAAGACAGTTAAAGAAATTATTTAAAAATTAGTTTTGTATGTTGTATTTTGTGGAAGTGCCAAAGTGAGAGCAATGGACCCTGGCTGGATAGGGGAGGTAGATAGTTGGACCAACCCTAGAAAATTCCATAGTGGAGGGAGAAGAGGGATGGTGGTTGAGAGGTATCTGGTTGGCTGAGTGGGACTTCCACAGGATGA